GGCCCCTCGGCCGAGCTGGCAGCCCTTCCCCGTCGGGCCGGCTGGCCGCCCTCAGGCGGCAGGGCAGCGGGCGCAGGCTTACCCGGGCGCGCCCCCACCTCCAGGTCGCTTCCGTGCCGGGGGAGCCGGGACAGCCCCGCCAAGCGGAGCTCTCAACAAACTTTATTTTGAAAGCTCTGCTCTCTTAGGGAGGGCCTTGTGGCCTCCAGCGAGGGGTGTGTAGGGGAATTTTGGTGGAACTTTCACTGGCCGGTGTTAGAGGGGCAGAGGGCAACTTTCTTAGAAATTTCACCTTGACCACCCCCTTGAATTCGTCGTCCAGGCCCCCTCAGCACTCCATCAGGCCTTAGGCCGCCTTCCTCAGACAGGGATTGGGTGCATAGTGTGTCTTGCCTGGGGTCCTAGGCAGGACTTCATTTGAGCAGACCCCTTTCCCCCATTTCCTCTTCCCTGAGGCAGGAAGAGGTAACACGTGAAAGTTGTCCCTGAACCCTGAGTGATGCGCTTCCCCTTTCTGTCTTTCTTTCAGGCAGTGCTGCATTCTCTTTCATCGTGACCCTGGAGGAGAAATAAATACCAGGCGGAGAAGTCCCACACTCTGCCCTGCCCTTGCCACACACCCACCTGCTTACCTCATGTCTGGGTTCAGGGTGGGTGAGGGTGAAGATCCCACCCGGCCAAGATGATTCTTTCCCTAGGGGCTGCTGCTGGTGTCCTCCCCCAGATCCTGGGCCCCAGCAGATGGGAGAGTGGCCCCCAACGAGCCCTGTCAGACTGCTGCAGAGGAGGTGAAGAGGGGTGGAGAAGAGGCACCCATCTGGGAGACTGAAGCTACTTACTTGCCTGCATCCCTGTAGACTTTGGACTTTTTAGAAGGACCTGTTGGTGGCCTTTGCCGGCGGCAGGAACTGGACTGTGTTCTGCCCTCGCACCTATGCCCCCACCTCTGGCAGCATCATGAGCCAGTTTCAGGTGCCCCTGGCGGTCCAAACAGACCTGCCAGGCCTTTATGACTTCCCTCAGGGCCAGGTGGTGGTAGGGGGCTTCCCAGGGCCTGGGCTCCCCGTGACTGGGAGTGAGCCCCAACTCCGAGGGGGTGGAGATGGGCGAAAGAAACGGAAACGGTGTGGTACTTGTGAGCCCTGCCGGCGACTGGAAAACTGCGGGGCTTGCACTAGCTGTACCAACCGCCGCACGCATCAGATCTGCAAACTGCGCAAGTGTGAGGTGCTGAAGAAAAAAGTGGGACTTCTCAAGGAGGTAAGCTAGCCCTTGCTAGGCTACCCTTTTCCTTTCTAGAGGGTGCTGTAACTTGGGAATCATCTTTTAAGATTTTCTTGCTACAGCCCCTGGGGTCTTATTAAAGGCTTGCCTGATTAAGCCCATTCTCCCATTTTTGATCCTCTTGGTTGGTCCGCTTTGAATAGGAGTGTAACTGATATGAGAAGCTGGTTTGAATTCCTTAGTAGGGCTAACAATTTGTATGAATATTACTGGGGCTCAGATGGCTCTGAGCTAGCACTCTTATCTCTCATGTTTGCCTTAGATGTCTAGATTTATCTCTAGAAGTTTCTCTTGTCCTGTTTGAAGCCTCAGAAGTTGTATTTCGAGGTCACACTAATGTTTGGGTGACTTGGGCAGTGATAGTGTCAGATAAGAGATGGAAGCTAATGAATTTGGAGAAAAGCTCTAGAGCAGCGGTTCTCAACCTTCCTAATGCTGCGAGCCTTTAATATAGTTCCTGTGGGTTGTGACCCACAGGTTGAGAACACTGCTCTTGAGCTACAGGGTGATTTTATGCTCCCCTTATGGGGAGGTATGTTTGCGTAAATCTTTTCATGGGTACTATCGTTTTTTTTTTTTCTCAGATGGCAAGGGAATCAGTTGAAACTGGGAATTTAGTGAGAAACCCATAATTTGGTTTTGTACTGAATACTTCTTGAAATCAATGACTTTATATTTGTGTCCCAGGACCTGGCACAATTCCTTGGTGCAGGTAGTGGGCACTCAGATTCTTAGCATGCAAATGAACCGAGTACTTTTGAGATGATGTCAACCCCAGAGGAGCATTCTGTTTGTTTGGGGGTAGAAAGAAGAGTTGGGGCGAGAGCAATCAGAGTGAGGGTGGGAGGAAAAAGGAGAGTGACCGTGCATTGGCCTTTCTCTCCCATTCTGGTGCTGGCTTGAGGTTGGTGGCAGCCGTAACAGCGGGGAGTTGACAGAAATAAGGACAGCGAAGTTGAGCAGTCTAGGAGGAGTGGTGTAGCGCTGAGGTTGCTCCAGGCAGCAGAATTGGCGCTGGACAGAGACGGAGGCCTGCGCTGTCTGCAGGGCTCCTCTGGCTCTGCCACTCATTTGTCCAAAGGCCCAGACAACTCACACCACCTCTCTGTGCCTGTCTTCTTCCCATTGGGAGTTGTACTTGATGGATTTTGAAACCCCTTCTAGCTGGACTGGGAACTGCTATGCATCTGAGGGCCAGGGCTCTTGAGATTGCAGTAGGCTGCGGGCTTATGCTTGGGGTTTCCCTGACTGCCGAGTGCAGAGCTGTGCTGTGGTCCTGTGGCTGGGAAGAAAGATCCAAGTACTGGGGACAGGGAAGTGGGTTACTGGATGTTTCTATCCTGTCTCACCTTCTCTTGTCAGCTCCTTGTGGAAGCTGTATCATGACCCTGGGACTGCAGACTGGGTGCTGTTTTTCCCCCCTCTCGGTTAGAGCAGACATCTGGATCACATCTACAGCTTCCCACTCCAGCCCGTGAGGCAGTGTCCAACTTATTTATGTTACTGGTGTTGGGGACAGTTAGCATCCTTCTGGCCCTAGACCCCATGGGTCACTTTTGAAAGAGGATGAGATCAGGGGTAGACTTCTAGGCATGAGATCTGTTGTGTTGATGTTAAGGGGGACCTGCCTAGTCTACTAAAGCTTGATTCCTTTGCTCCCCTCCTTCCTTTGTCTCAGTTCCTCCCATAATCAAAACCTAGAGGTGAGGATGTTGAGCTTTCTGGGCCTGGTGTTTTTAGAACCAATGGCCCTTGTGTACAGTGATTAAATGACTCTTTTGGCAACAACAGCCAGGCCCTGTCATCCTTGTGTGTAAGGTACCAGGTGGTCTTGGTTAAGATAATGTGGATCTGGGTTAGCTGACACTTAGAGATGATTCTGCTGAGAGATGCCTGCATCCCTGCAAAACCTTGCCATGGCCAGCTGTCTTGTCTAGGCCCCAGGGTCATGTCAGATTTGGCTGGATGGCCTGTCAGGGCACACACTCTGATGTACTGTGGAGCCCTGGTGGAGTTCTCTGGAGTTCTCTGTTTTTTTAGAGAAACAATGAAAGGAGACAGTGGGGTGAGTTTTCTCCATAAAGCTAACTTTCTTTGACTTAAAGAACAGTAGTTTGTTCTAAGGTTAGGTCCTTTCTACTTCTTTTTTTTTTTTTTTTTTTTTTGAGACAGAGCCTCAAGCTGTCCCCCTGGGCAGAGTGCCGTGGCATTACAGCTCACAGCAACCTCCAACTCCTGGGCTCAAGCGAGTCTCCTGCCTCCGCCTCCCAAGTAGCTGGGACCACAGGCGCCGGCCACAACGCCTGGCTATTTTTTGGTTGCAGCCGTCATTGTTGTTTTGGTGGGTCCGGGCTGGGGATTCGAACCCGCCACCTTAGGTGTACGTGGCTGGCGCCTTAGCCGGTTGAGCTACAGGTGCCGAGCCCCTTTCTACTTCTTGATGTTTAAAATGTGTTTTCTTTTTTTTGCAGTTTTTGGCCAGGGCTGGGTTTGAACCCGCCACCATCTCTGGCATATGGGGCCAGTGCTCTACTCCTTTGAGTCACAGGCACCACCCTAACATGTGTTTTCTTTTATGAAGTGATGGTATCGATACAAAGTAGTTTTTTTTTTTTTTTTTTAAGTCTTTACTTAGATTGGGCATAGTGGTTCACAACTGTAATCTCAGCACTCTGGGAGGCTGAGGTGGGATGATCACCAGAGGCCAGGAGTTCAAGACCAGCTTGGGCAACACAGTGAGACCCCCTAGCTACAAAAAATAGAAAAATTAGTGAGGCATGGTGTGCATGCCTATAGTCCCAGCATGTATGTAGCCCTAGCTATGTAGGAGGCTGGGGTAGGAGGCTGGCTTGAACCCAAGAGTTTCAGTGTACAGTAAGCTATGATTTGTGCCACTGCAGTCTAGCTTGGGGAAACAGATCAAGACCCTCTCAGAAATCTTCATTACTTGGTAAAATACAAACTACTAAATAGTATTTGTCTCCACAATTTTTTTTTTAAAATTGGACCAGCAAGGTTGAAAGCCTGGGAGCCACTATTTAGGCATATTCAGGCTATGCTACATTTAATGGGCATATTTCTGGCATAGTTATACAGCTCGGACATGCCAAAGACACAATCTGAGCGGGTGCACTCTGAGGACCAGTCTAGCATTTAGCAGCTGCTGGGGATTGCTTGGAACCTTGACCATTAGATGTTAGCAGGCAGGTAGCAGAGGGGTTATGGAGATTGTTTTGTGCCTGACTACTCTGGAAGGGCAGGATACAGTATCCTAGGAACATTTCAGAAGTCAGACCATGTACTTGCATCTCTGCTCCCTGGCATTTCTTTTTCTCTGTTAGAGTGGTGCCACTCCTAATCACCCTTTTCTTCCCATCCTGTTTTTGCTTCTTCCAGCTGCCTTTGGAGCTTCCTTTGAGCTATCTGTTGATAGCTGCCTTGTAAGGGAAGATTATCTTGGGTTTTCCATTTTCCCTGTTTCTTTTCCACTGTTGACTTTTGGGGGCAGGGGGCATACAAGGAAATCCTGCTACTCAGAAAAGAGTAGCATTTTAAGATTAAAGACAGGTCCCCAGGGAAGGGTCTTCCTGTTCTAGGGTGGTGATTGCTGCTTTGGTTCCTTGTATGAGGTTGGCAGTAGCTGTAGGTAACACATCTTGAATGTGGTCTTCCAGAAATGATTTAGAATTAGATCCTAGGCTGATGTCAGAGGCTAGTTTCATTCTTTTTTACCTGAGTGGTAGCTTGGTAGCACAGTGAAGAAAGTAGGAATTGGTGAGTGTGGAGGCACAGCAGGGCTTGGTACCCAAATTAAGGGCTGTGTGCTTAACTATCTTGGGCCACCAGTGCTCAATCTTTTCAGCATTGGTTTTCAATTGTAAGATAGGGGGAGTAACCCTTTGTTGTAGGGGTTATTGTGAGGATTAAACGAGAAAAATATACATAATGTCTGGCATATAGTAGGTAATCAATGCATGGTGACACAAAATATTTCTTTTTTTCTTTTTTTTTTTTTTTTGTAGAGACAGAGTCTCACTTTATCACCCGCAGTAAAGTGCTGTGGCATCACACAGCTCACAGCAACCTCCAAATCCTGGGCTTAGGCGATTCTCTTGCCTCAGCCTCCTGAGTAGCTGGGACTACAGGCGTTGGCCACAATGCCTGGCTATTTTGTTGCAGTTTCGCTGGACGGGTTTGAACCTGCTACCCTTGGTATATGGGGCCAGCGCCCTACCCACTGAGCCAGAGGCGCTGCCCCAACACAAAATATTTCTAGAATGTCTACAGAAGAATTGATCTTTATGCATAGACAGCTGTGCATTAGTCTCTGTGTTATAAAGATGCAATACAAGTTAAATGTGTATCTCAAGATATCTCTTGGCTTGCTCATAGAAGAACCTCAGGGCAGAACTACAGGGCCAGGTGAAATGGAGTTTGCCAGCCTCTTTGCTGGGGGAGGAGGCTGAACACTGAAATGCAAGAAGGAACTATCAGGCTTGGCGCCTGTGGCTATCCAGCCCAGCCCGCCAAACAACAATGATGGCTGCAACCAAAAAATAGCTGGGCGTTGTGGCAGGTGCCTGTGGTCCCAGCTATGTGGGAGGCGGAGGCAGGAGAATCCCTTGAGTCCAGGAGTTGGAGGTTGATGTGAGCTGTGATGCCACAGCACTCTACCCAGGGGGACAGCTTGAGGCTCTGTCTCAGGAAAAAAAGGCTCGGCGCCTGTGGCTCAAGCGGCTAAGGCACCAGCCAAACAACAATGATGGCTGCAACCAAAAAATGGCCAGGCATTGTGGAGGGCACCTGTAGTCCCAGCTACTTGGGAGGCTGAGGCAGGAGACTCACTTGAGCCCAGGAGTTGGAGGCTTCTGTGAGCT